TAAAACTGAATAACAATAATTTATATTTTTTACAGTACTGTGAGGGTTGGGTTTAGGGTTGGGGGGGGGGACTATGGACTTTCTATATTAAACAATGTTAATAATTTAATTCAGACAAGAATAAAATAGCTGTGTGGTTTGTGAGCAAAAAATCACTTGCAGTGCTAAACATGAAAGGAGAAATAAACATCTCTTTTTAACATTCAGATGTTCCCGAATTTTGTGAAGCAAATCAGATGAAGATATAAAGTGTGGTTTGTGGCCGAAACAAAACAGTTATTGTGGCATGTGGAGAGGACATGTTGCCACTTTCAGTTGGCATAAATGACTCAGCATGTGAATAAAAACTATTATAAATAAAAGTTCTTGACAGTGTCTAAACATTTGCTATTATGCAAAACCATTCACAAAAAGCAAAAAATAAAAGTCTTTATATTTAGCATTAGAAAAAGCTAACCATCAAAATATTGTTATCTGAGTAAGTATTTGCTATTATGTAAACACACAGGTATTTATTACGCAATCATTCAATATGCAAACAGTCACTAAATACAAAATTACTTTTAAGATTATATATAATAATCCACATATTCATTGACTATTTAAATGTAAAGAAAATAAATTACTGTTTGCCATAAAAAGAAATTAATAATATGCTAACTATAGTGGGTATCAGGAGTCCTAAACCAATGGGAATACTTATAAACATATCAGATTTAGCTTGTTTGATAGGGATAAAAAATATTGATGTTCATATTTATTTACAGAATTGTCAAAATATGAAGGTTCCTAAACTGACCTGAATAGGATATTCTACTTGACAGCAATGTATACTCAGCAAGTAAAAATAATAATAGGTTACCTATGACCCATGATTATTTGATATTTCATGAATCCCTTGTTTGTTTCTCAGTAGTTAAACTATTTCCTATTCCTTAAAAAAAAAACTGGTCCTAAACTTTTTGGTTGCATATCTGAATCCTTTTATTAATGGTTGACTGAATGATTTAGATTCATATATTCACAATGAGGACTACTATGAAATTTTAAAACAAGGAAGGCAACATGAAGCATGAAGTAAATTATGATTATTTTGTTTAAATAACACTTCTTTCATTTAGTGTTGCCCTTACAAGCTACTTACAAATATCTTTTACATCAGACAAAATAATACAATTTATTCAGATGTTTTACCACCCTCCACCTTAATGTACCATAGACTTATGACAAGAACAAACAAATGGTGTGGATAATATGTAACAACCAACAGTATTAGATGATCTATATGAGATTTCGCACTGACATACTTTTAACTATTTGTAGCTTAAAATGACTGATTTAAGATGGATGTGCAGTATTTGCTTAAATTCCAGTATTTTGTATTAATTTTCTTTTTATCTCAAGAACAAAAACTCTCAAAATTATGAGACTTATTAAGATTCAAGGGTGTGTATATTTAGAAAAAAAAATATTTTTATTGTTTCAATTTATTTTCCATGAATTATTTTGGCCTGTGAATTATGTAAACATGAAATGCTTACACAAACAACAGCATAGTTTTTATGATCTCTGTTATTTTGTTAAATATTTTATCATTTCACCTCAGGGATATGTAAAGGTAAGCATGAACTGTTTTGTTACCTTCTATTGTCTCAGTCCTCCATAGGTTGTTGTGCTTGGCTGGTTTTCAGTCGTTGGCTGCTTGGAACGTTCCTCTTCTCTGACAAGGGTCGACTGCTCTGTTGCTTCTCAGGAGTTTCATTTGTTGACAGTCTGAACTTATGAACGTTCAGCTGTTTTTCAGTTACACAGGGAAAATGTTTTTTGTTTTAAACTTCCATTTAACTTTTATTTTTTTACTGAATTGCTTATTGAAGAGTAAGAATGACACAACTATTCTTAAATGAGGAAATTTGTTTTCTTACCCTCTCTTTGGGAAATCCACTGTAAAATGTGAAATAGCTAAGTTGAATCAGCATGTCTGACAACAGTAGTCTCTTCTGATGTATATATGCTGTTAGAAGAATAGGTGGAGAGTCAAAATGTAAATGCAAAAGTTGTGTAACTTGGGTATTGCTTTTGTTTTGTTATTGATGTTGAGTAATATCTTACTCAACAGCACTTTTGGCTCTGCAGGAATGCTAGAAATACTCAAGGTTACTGCTCAATTAAGCAGATAACCAAAATATACCTAATACAATTTATAGAGATGAAATGAAAATAACACCATCATTTACTCGCCCTTCATTTGTTTGAAACCTATTTAGGTTCTTCTGTTAAACAGAAAATAAGATAATTTGAAAAATGCTGGCACCCTTTGATCTACTATAGAAGTTGTCAACAACCAGCCTTCTTCAAATATCTTATTTCCTGTTCAACAGAGGAAAAAACTCATAAAGGAATGATGGGGTTTCATTTTTGGCTGAACAATCTCTTTAACATTGATAATTTAATCAAAGTTCCAGTATGGTGGGAAACTGGACTTTTACCTATCAATACCACACCATGTGTTATAACACAACCTTCCACTTTTAAACTTAAGTTGTACCACAAGATCAGAAATGATTTCATAATCCAAAAATCAGTAGGGTTGAAAATAAGTATGTCGATATTGGATTGTACCCTTGGTATGCAGAGCACAATACACACTCAGAACTATTGTCATTAGTTTATAGGGTTTAGCATTCAAGTGCAAATACACAGCACCCAGCAAAGGCAATGCAGGATTTCTTTTATCATGACTGTAAAAAGTTTTTCTTCAAACTTGCTTACTTTAGGATGACATTACAAAAACAGGTTCTTGAGAGAAAACAGCTCCAGAACTCAAAGTCCATCTCTATACTGCTAATCTTGGTCATGGGACTAGGCAAAACAACCAAGCAATTGGTAATAAATGTAGTTTCTGCAGTCATAATTCTTTTTATGTGGTTACGGATGTCAAGTAAATTGTTCCAATTTTGTTGTTTCAAGTCAAATCTAGTGGAATGATTTTCATTTTCTCTCACTTTGATCCTATGACTATCATAATTACCTAGATTAAAAACATTTAAGCTTCTAATGAAATTTGGCTGCTATGCACTTTGTATTGAAATGCATTTTGCAAATAAAAACAAATCTACATCACATGTCAGAATGTGCAGAACATGAACGTAATATTATTGGTCATTTTTCCCTTTGTTAACTGCCTGTGTGTGTTTTAGATATGCAGGAAACAGATCTAAGAGCAAATGACAAAGACAGCATTTTATCAGTTGTGACTGACTCTTAGAGAAATCTTGGAACAAAAATTTGTGAAAATTTATCATCCCAACTCTAGAACATTTATAACTCATCTGGTTAGTAAAATTAAACATTTATGAACCAGCTGTCATGCTGATTTCCAAATGTGGGAGATTATGCACTTCCTTTAGCTTCAGATGACTGAGGAAAAAAAAAACATTCGGTTTTGAAAAAAGCAAAAAATGTAAACAAGGAAAATGGCAACACATGGTTTTGCTTGAGACTCTCAAAATTTAAAATTCCCTCATAAAATTCATAATTTCATTATTGATGACTAACAGCTACTGCAATGTAGAGGACAACAACCACAAAAAGAGCAAATTAAAACCGAATAGAAAATAATAGTTGTATAAATACACAAACTCTGGCATATTGTATAATAGCAGATTATTTGAAACATTTTCCCTCATTCAATAAACACTGATCCGCCTATTAGATGTCTGTACAAAATGTTAATTTTGACGTGGTTAATAATCAAAAACAAGACATACCACCAAACTAGTTTTGACATTGAAAATAGCTCAATATAACAGGGGAAAAAAATAGCATGCACACAGCTACCCAAAATATACTTTTAAAGCCCTCAAACCACCATGGTTTGAGGTATATTGCACAAAGAAATCTGCTTGAGATATTTAAGACACACAGATTAAAAGCAGGCATATAAACCTTTATTGAACTAAAAAATAGGAATTATTTACACAAACATTTACATAGACACTTCCAACATTCATGTAAGAAATAACAATTAAAAAAAAAAAAAAAAAAAAAACACTACTACAATAGATCGTATAATCCACCAAAGAAAACTATAAACGTGAAAGCAAGTTTGGGATTTTTTTTTTGGATGACAAGAATGAGCAAAAAACAAGCCAGTGCATTAATGATGAACGGCACCGCGGAGACACCTAATTCAAATAAACACTTTAAGCGTCCTCTATTGTAACTTTAAAAACACTCATCTCATTTGTACATACGTTCATTGGTTGACTACTGTCATGCACATAGTTTCCAGACAAATCTTCAATAAACTGAAAAAACAAAACAAAAAGAATCCTCCACTGACAGGCTATCAACACAGCACAGGTGGAAGACACCAACACAGAAAGTTGTAATGAAATGTGGGATGCTATTGCTGCTCATCCTCAGGACAAGAATGCCAAGTTAGCCTTTCTTCATAAAAAGCAATAACTATCTGCGGGCAACGGGTGTTAGCCTCTCGTGCGGGAACCAGGTCCGCTTCATCAGAGTCCTTCCTGTAAACACAAGACAAAGAAGTTTATCTAGAGACCAAACAGAACAATTAGACTAGGAAGTACAGTGTTGCACTTCAAAACAATGACCTCTGCATTGCAAATGAGGTAAATTATCTTGTGGATGCTTTATTGAAGGGATGTTGAAAACCTAGATTTTAAAACAAATGTATTTTGTCAGTTTAATTTAAAATATGGATATGGATTCAAACACACACACACACATTTATTTTTTTTTCATAAAAAAAAAAAAAATTATACCATACACCTTTGATTATATATAAATAATTGTGTCCTGAGCAGTAAACACGTGGAGCACTTCTACACAAATTAAAAATTTAAGTTAAACTACCTTTTTGAATAGAAATTTGAGATGGATTGTTGGTGATTGTATGAGTTTTGACCAGATTGGCTAGCAATACACGAACATAGGAAAATTAAGACTTGTTTAAAAAAAACATTCAAGACTTACAACACAGAGTAAATGTAAGACTTTTAAGGCCTACATTTTTTATTTTGGGATTTTAGACATTAAGACCCTGCAGAAACCCTGAATAAAAATAAGCCGACACAATGAGCCCTCCAGTAAGCCTCTTTATTTTTTAATAAAAAGGTTTTATGCGTGGGACTGCTGCCCTCTACAGGCCTTTAAAACAATCTTTAAAATGAACTCAAATGTTATTCCAAAACGTTATAGCTTTCTTTTGTGGATTGTTTTTCATACAAAACAAACAAACATTTTATTTACCAAGTTAAAATAGGTTTCAAATATTCTTCATATAGTATGACTTGTAGAAGTTGAACAGATTCAAAACAAGATCAAGACTTCCCCCACTATTTTTTCTCAGCTAAACATGTTCTAAATCAATTACAAAACCACAATAGTTTCTTACCACTTCATGAGGAACATGAGCTCCCCGCTGCTGTCAGTCGCCCCAATGATTCTCTCTGGTTCAAGGTTTCTTGCAAAACCCCTAGGCTTGTCAGACTACAGTAAAAAAACAAAAAACAATATTAGTTTAGATTTAGCAAATTTAACCAATGTTAAAAAAAACATCACATCTGCTAGATATTTTAATGACCAACACAACATCTTACCATTTCCTTCTTTCGTTTTGCCTTGCTCTCTTCTGTCTCTGGTTCATCAGTGGATGATTTTCTTTTTACAGCTTCTGGTTTTTCCACCACTCCTTTCTGAGACTCAAGGAATGCGGCGATCAGCTCTGGACAGTCTAAATTTTCTTCAGGCTCCCAAGTGTTGTCAGCACTGAGGAAACATAGATACCTTGTTAAAGAGATAGTTTACTAAAAACTGAAAATTGTAATTTACTGATCCTTCACTTGCTCCAATCTTGTTAGATTTTTTTTCCATTGAACACAAATCATGTTTTTTGAGGAGAGCTGGAAACTTGTTTACATTAACTTTCACAGTATTTGCTTTTCCTGCTGTAGAAATCAATGGTTACCGGTTTTCAGGTTGCTTTATATTATCTTTAGTGTTCAAAAAAAAATCATTAAAAACTGGAACCACCTGATGGAGAGTCATTTTCCCCTACAATCTAATAGCATACAGCTACACTCACAAATCAAAATATATGCAAAAACAATTCCGTTTATTTTTCATAGCTGCAAAAGAGACGAAGTACTCACTCTGTAAAGCCTTTCCACTTGAGGAAAAACTCAACTTTTCCATTGACCACTCGCTGGTCCATTACCTTCTCCACCACAAACTCCTCAATCTCCTGAACTTCCTTCTTTGACTTGCCTGCCTGCTTCTTACCCATGTTGACCTAAATGCACACACACACAAATGACATCATAAACCAGACCTTATCATTCATTTCAAGTACTTTAAATTTAAAATGTTAAAAATTTAAGACTCTGCTCTTTTTGTATCAAAATAACAAACGAAAAGGTTTAACTGTTTATGACTTGTAATATAATAGTAAAAAGGCTAACGTTAATGTTTGCCCATTTACTAAGAAATTAAATGATACTATATGCTAGGGGGGTTCTCAAATCCAGTGATGCCTTTACGGCTAGCCTAGGGTTAAAAACGCGTTAGTATGTGGTGCCTTTTAAGTGTGCTTGAATGTTAGCGAGCTAATGGTAACTGCGCATGCATGAACAGGCCAAGGGCCCTGAAAGCGTTTCAAACTTCCCACTCGAATTTATAGCGGTTTAAGATTTCCCGGCGAACACACAGCTCGCGTGAACGTATAACTTTCCACAAAAAAATATTGTTCGCTTAATATTTGCTGAAACACGTGTTGGTTTACAGTAGCCCGCGTTAGCCAACTTGCTAGCAGGAAATGCTCACAGAAACAGACAAAACATCGCGACGTTACAAAACATTGTGCAATATGCATCCTACATTTCTGTAAAGTGAAACAACTTAAAGGGCTTAAAAGCAGATTTACAAAAATAAGCTAAAATAAACAAGACTGCAGCATTCAAACAACAAACTACAATGGACGGTGCTGCAGCACGAGAGGCATGCGCGCGAAACTCACCATGACAATGGATAAGATAAAAACTTGGATAACAAATCTTCACGCCTTCTGAACTGCAAATGGCTTTACAGAAACTGCTCCCGCGCCAACGAAGTACGCACTTTTAAAAGTTTTACTTACTTGATACTAATAAATCAAGAAGAAAAGCCGACTGAGGCTCGACGAAGGCCAGCCAGAATCGAACGCGAGGACGTAAAGCCACGCCTATCTGAGAGCAATCACGTGTATCCAATGAGTCTTACGTTGGGCGGAGCGCCTGTGAATTCAAAAGCACATCCGCAGATTACCATGGCAAAACATCTCGATTCAGTTATTTTGAGAGATACACCGTATCACTTAACTTCAATTTAAGTGTTCACTCATTAAACAGATCTCTAAAACAGATTCTCTATATGTTTAGCCTATTGCCTACTACATCCAGAACATGACACAACAAAGGGAGAACGGGGTAATGTGAGATACCCCCTGTATCTAGGCAACGAATTTTATATATCACTCTATAACAATTTTGTTTTAAAGCCCCTTCCATATCTCCTTTACCATGAATAATAGGAATTCCTGGTGCTTTGGAAAGCATGAACTACCAACATATAAAACGATGTGAGTATGCTAGCTCAAGATTAGTCTGAATTGCTAAAAAAAAAAAAAAAAATTTCTAAAATGTGGCAGTGGGGTAAAGTGAGACATTAGGCACAAGTTAAATTTAGTCTACCAGATTGTAGGACTTGTGAACGAGGCCTTCAAACGAGCAGTGACACTTCGCAACATCACTTCTGGATTTAGGTCCACTGGAATTTTTCCATGGGAAATTTTCCTTGATAAAGCATTTTGCACTATTCATGGTGTCAGACTAGGCAAATCCTGAGCTCCAGCCTGGCACTACAGAAGATTTGGATGATCTACTTCCTGCAGATGATCCACTTACAGATAGTTCACTAACTGATGCTATTCCATTCAGTGCGCATATAGTCTACATGGATGTGCCATGTGTTTCTAGCCAACCTGGATACATGTCTCTTCATGAAATGCTACCATTCTCAAATGTCTCCCCAGAACACAATCCAAATGAAACCGTGTGACACTTGAAAAGGCCTATAAAAAAAGACAAACAAAAAAAAAAACACCAAAAAAAAGAAACAAAAAGCTTAAGAATAGCAAATAAAAGGAAAAATCAAAAAAAAAAAAAGAGAAAGCAACCAAAAACAAAATCATAGTTAGCAGCTCTGGGAAAAATGATGTCCCTGTCTTAGTTGATAATGTGTCTGATGAAATGAGCTCTAAGGATGAGAGTAGTGGTCCAAGAAACACAAATCTGTCTTTGGGAGACTTTGTCATAGATAACTTTGCAACAAAAAACACAAGCGTTTATTACACTTGCATGGTTAAGGAAGTTGAGGATGACGAGATACGCACATCATGGTTTTGCCAAGTACGATCTGATCCTGGATCAACATCTATGTTTATCCTGGAGCATCATTTTTGTTGGAAATTGTAATCCATACCTATTCCCTACCCCTAAACCCAGCCATAACTGTACATTACTCTCAAAATCAGAGGGGAATAAGTTGGATAACAATCATCAGAAGTGCATAAACATAATCATAAGCCTAAACTGAACATAAACGGTAAATGTACCCCTTAATTCTGATTGGCTGATTGGAATGTTGTTTAAAGATCAATATACAGATGTTAATCCAGGAACATGTGGGTGAAAATAGCTTAGAGGGGTAAAAATGTAAAAAGTGTCTCACTTTACCCCGCTATCCCCCTAGATCCTTTGTAGTGTAATTCAATTTGACCAAAAGACCAATAATTTAATTATTTGATTAAAACAACTAAATTACTTTAAATTAAGACTTTTTTTTAATTTGTTCTATTAATTTATTCTTCGTAGTATAATAAAAAATAACTTGCATGTGATTTTCACGCAGTTAACAAACAAACAAGTTATTCATGTGATAATGCGATTTTTATTTGGCATGAACATGAAAATATTACAAAACAATTTTTAGTTTTAACTTAATTTACAGTCAGGGGCAATAAACAATAATAATAATAATAATAAGCAATAAACAATAAAAAAGATAAACAGGCGCTTAAGTCCCCAGGAAATCTGAGGGCCCCAAAATAAATACCTAAAAGTACACTGTAAAAAATAATACCCCATATTTACTCAATAAATTTGAGGCAACAGATTACAAGCAATATTATTAATTAAATTCAACATATATGGATTGAGTAACAATTAATTAAAATTACTGATTTAAAATTATTCATTTAAATTAAGTAAGCAAAAATTACTTAAAGAAATTAGCTAATTTGAAACAAAAATATTTATTAAATTGAACAGAAAAACCTACACAATGTTAATGAAAACTACTTAATGTTTTTATTTAGATTTAACATAAAAAGTGTGGAGCCTGGTCATCAGCTCTAGAAAATAATGCTTTATATCTACACAATAAAATTTTGGCAACAGATTACAAGCAATAATATTAATTAAAGTAAACAAGTATGGATTGAGTAAAATTTAATTAAATTTAGCTCAAATTAGTGGAGCCTGTTCAGCAGTGTGAAGCCACAATACAGAGTAACAACAATCTCACAATAGACAATACATCATATAATACACAATAAAACATGTACATTTAAACAAACTGATCATCTTAACAAGGACTTTGATCATCTTTTTTTAAACAGCAGTTTCAAACAACTGGACATTAAACAATATTATTTAAAACAATAGACTTAGAGTGAAATTTATGTGATTTAATGCATGAAAGGTATTATTTGCCAGAATAATGCAGATTCATTGAAGCAAAGAGGACACCACAGTAGAGGGAATACTACCCTCTAATATCTTCCAGCGTTAACCAGACAGTCTATTGTAAAAACACCATTCTTTGTCACAGTTAAAATGCATAGGTCAAACCCAGGTGGACAAAAGCTCTGGGAATGTAGTCAAGAGTCGTGCCAATGCGAGCCAGGGCCAGTCAAGTTTCCACAGTCACTTCCCGGGCCTGATCGGATACACTGGGCCAAAACCGTTCAGCTGGGGCTTTGGGCGGAGTGAAAGCAGAGTTTGCCTGAGTCTGGTAAAGATGAGGTCTATAAGAACTTTAACACCTTCAATGATGATGATGATGATGATGATGATGATGCCAGTATCTTCAGGCGGTCACTTGTAGAAGGTCCCTGTTTACGTCAACATTTCTGCCATCACAAGCCGTTCAGATCCTGTCGGTTCTTCATTGTCCAACTCCATTGAGCAACAGTAAGAAAAAAATGAATAAAAGAGTAAATATGTTAATAATCTGTTAGCATGTTATGACAAACAGTCAGAAACTGTAAACATGATAAACATCATAAACTCTACCTTTAGTCTCAGATCTCTGTCTTACTCCAAGAGCTCCTCAGCAGCTGTGAAGATCCACAATGCACAGTGGCATCTCTCTCAAATTCAGCACTCACCTTAAAAAACAGAATGACAGACAAAATGTATACATGAGTTTTACTTATACATTGTAAAATATTTGCCCCTTCATTAACAGTAAATTACTGACTAATAACTGTATTACTTTCACAGTAAGCCACTGTGATTTGTTTTACACTTACTTACAGTGAAATTACAGCCATATGTGACTTCAAGGTGTATAGTAAGGCTCATTTCTGTGATTTCACCGTATTCTCTTGTAGAATTAACTATATTTTACTGTGAAGTTACAACTAATGGCAAGATGGTTACTGTGATTTAACAATATGTTGTAGCTGAAATACTTAACTGTAACATGTATGTCCCGCTTGCAACCTAGACAGTCATCCATTCAGTCAGTCATTTTCCTGATAAGTTACACACTTGCTGGTTGATGTGTCTCCTCTGCCTCTGACACAATATAAAAAGTTGTAATTAGTAAATAGTGTTAGACAGTACCATTTTTGTTTTGGTTTGATAATGAGGTTTATAATGAAGTGAAGGCCAGTGCTTACCTTGCTTACTTTATTCTGTGGTCACTTTAACTCAATGCTGTGCTGAAAAAGAACACAGTTAACAGTAAGTTAACAGAAAATTACCTTTTTAAAACTCATACACTCTCTAATACCACGAAATTAGCATTAACGTTACAAACACGCGTTCTAATCTTTTCACTCATAGCGCACGTGCTGCTGATGATGTGACAATAAAGTGATTTGGTAACTTCGTTTATAAATAGGCGCGCTAAACAGCGTGACAAAAGAAGCTAAAGTTACTTGGTGAACTACATGCTATACAAAAATATATAACAATTAGTTATATAACAAACTTGGACATTTCAACACTTACCGATAAATCCGATGAGACCGCGACATCTACACGTTGTCTGGTGAAGCGAGTCGGCGTTGTTTGAGTCGAGTGACTCGGTTCGGTTCTAGGAATCGGCTCACTTAAGTGATTTGTAAGAGAATTTATTTTAAGAAAACAAATCATTAAAAAAAAAGTTTTTCAAGATGTTTTTGCATTTAACAATATTTTAGTGTTTTGAGTTTAGTAATGTATTTTGCATCAGGACAAAATATAAAAAAAGGAGTGATTAAGTGATAAAAAAAGCAAAATAAATCAATTAAAAATAAATTAAAGTACAAAAGGTGCATTTTACAACTTTTGGGCCCCATGGCTAGAATTACTTAAGGCCCCCAAATCACTAAATGTAATTCGCCCCTGTTTACATTGCCATATGGAAGAACTACACGACGGGTTACAAAGTGGAACCTCCGAATGTACATGCACTGAAACGGTGTAATTACTCCAGAGGAATAAGGTAGGCCCAGTTTCCTAACTTACTTCTTATGGGACCCTTTGGCTTATCACCTCATCACTTTCAAAGTGACAACTAAGATTTTCTTATCAGCAGTTTCCTGCTTATCAGGGGTGAGAATTCTCACACTGACTATTGTCAATCCACTTTTGGTGCGTTAGGCTACTTCGTATTTGAAACTGTAAAAATTTAATACTGAATTATACTTTGTGGAAGGGATGATTGCACAATAGGTTACACCAATATTCTTTCCTTGTGATGTGCACCCATTTTAGGAACGTAACACTTTTGGAGCTTATTTAAGAGGTACATTTGCTTTAATAACTAAACCAACACTTTAAGCCAGAAGATTAGCCTCTTCCTTCTAAATTTTGTGTCAGTTTGCACACCAGTAAATGTTCTACAAAAGTAAACATTTTTTGGAGGGGAAGTATTATACATTCAAAACCCATTGTTTCACAAATTTATTGTACTTTGTGTCATTTTTATTAACTCAAAATAGATCTTTTTATTTATCAAAATAACATTGTGCATTATCCTAATACAGGCCTAATCAGAGGATCCAATTCTTCTTAATGTTTGTTCTTTTGTAAGAAAATATACAGTGGAGATCAAAACCAGAGAACAACTTACAAACACTTGATATTTTCAGTAATAATAATTTTTATGTAACTAATTTTAGTTGAGACTAGGAGAACAATGTTTTCTACAAAAACCCTTCTATCTTTTGCAAACACAGTGATCAGTTTAGAGAAAATATACATTAGCAATGATTGTATGAAAAAAGACAAACATTTCTGGTGAAGTTTCAGCTAAAATTTCTGATGAAGACACAAGCTTTGAAATGTCTCTCAGTTTTAGTTTAGCTTCAGATTTGCTGAGTGATGGGGTTCATTTTCCTGTGTGTATAGGTGTGCTGTGGGTAATATTACTTGATTACTTAATTATTTTTGAGAATTTTAAAGTGAATGCTTTTACCTTATTGTTTATAGAAAAAATAATATATTTTTTAACAATTTTATTTACAGTCAAAAATGCTATTTGTTGCATCTTCCCTTGCTACTAACAAACCAATTGAGTTAACAAAACAATGTGTTATTTTTAAAAAGTTTAACATTAAATAAATGTAGAGTGCTTGAGCATCACTTAGGGTCTGCCAGTAGCCATGACAGACTATTGTCGAAAGGTGGAGGTGGTTGAAGATTTGATGAAGGTGGTTGGCTCGTAATTCTCAATGCTGGAAAAACCTTAGCATTGATCACGTTCACTCTCAATAAACCAGCAGTTTCATACAGGCAGAGGTGTAAACCGTACTCAAAAATGTTACTCAAAGTACAAACACTGAGTGATTATTTTACTTAAAAGTAGTAGTATCTAGCCAGAAACATATACTCAAGTAAAAGTTTTGTCGCATTAATTGGTACAATGCATAGCACATTGACCTGAGAAATTACAGCTTCATGCAAAGCTCTAAAATATTGCATTCAGAGACAAATTCTGCTTTGCTTCCTGTATTGGAGGGTACCTTCCTGAATTTCAAAGGCAGCAAAGATGTGTCCTTTGTTGTCTAGAAATCCCACAATCCTGTGTGTTCTATTATTTACATTTGAGCTTAAAAAATAAAGATGGCATCTTGAAGCACACTAGGTGTCAATGGACTATATGCACAGCAGTCAATGATGAACTTCCGGTGATAGCTTTATGTGACTATTTTCAATTTGATAAGTTTCCTTTTACAGCATCGATGTTGTAATGTAATTCAAATATAATCAGTTAAGTAGACTTCAGCATCCATTTGGCCATACTTTAGCAAACTCTTTTCTTTTAGTAGTATTAGTTTGTGTTATACAATATGAAATGTACACTTTGTATCATTCAATAAACTATTTTTTTTTGCATTTCAGCCCCAATAGAGCTAGGCTTGACACTCATATAAATGAAAACCACTCTGGTTAATGTTAAATAAAAGGATTTACAACTTTGAGCATCATCAGTTGCATAATGGCATCATAGGACTGGCGTCGAGCCTTGTAGTTTAGTAAATACAAACAGTTCTAAAGCAAGATAAAACATTGTGTTTCATTCATGTTGTGTTGTAAGAGATTAAAAGCTTGAACAAGAATCTTTAGTTTTCCTTGGCAACTGATAGACCCTAAGTGATGCTTAAGCACTCGTCACTCGTATTTAATGTTTAATGTTAATGACTTTTTAAAAATAACACATTGTTTTGTTTGATAAGATTACTATAATGCAAAATGTGTGTTTCAAGTAGGAAAAAAAATCATGATCGGCATACCACCTCTAAGGGGTGTTGTAAAATGAGCCCTTTTTTTATTGATCACCAGTCTGATAATAAACATAACATTTCTCATTGAACCCAAATGAATAAAGTTGCTTCCATCACTCAATCATTTTTCCTTCACATGGGAGAAAAACATTCTTCAACAACATATATGAAAAAAATATGTTATACAGGAAAATGTTCATTCAAAAGCAGTGTACATGCTATACCTAACTTTATTTTTGATTGTGTTGCCTGTTGATTTGTTTGCTTTCAGGCCTGATATTGTGACGTTAGTCACTTTCTTGCATAACAGCATTATCCTGAATCAGTTTTAAAATGTGTATTATGTCTGTCACAATATCTACTTTTATTATACGATATATTGCACCAAAATATATTGCAATAAATTATATTATTGTCATTTTAAGACCATTTTATGCCGCCCATTATATAATGCCAGAATGATAATATAATCACATTAAAAGTAAAAATTTTTCAAAGCACACATATATATATATATATATATATATATATATATATATATTTTTTTTTTATGTGAAAACACATATCCTAAATAAATAATAATAAATGTAAAAAAAAAATAGGTAAAAAGAAACAGAAGCTGCGATATCGGGTCTATTTTCAGTTGTCCGCCACGCTCATGAAAATATGCCATTTATAGTCATTTATAGTAAACACTATTGTTTTTAATCATACTGACACTTCCAATTGAGATAGAGATGTTGCTAGAATTAGTTTTTATTATGGGCGATATATATATTGAATCACCAAAAATAACTGAGGTCATGTCCATGTGTTGTGCGATAAGTTGATATGTTGATTATTGTGATAGGCCTATGTATTATTGACAATGTGCAGTTGAAAATGAGTGCAAAATCTAACTTTACACTGCTTTGTCACATTCAGCACTGTATAAACATTTTCTCCCCCATTTCTGAAAACAATAATCCAAAAAACAACAATTCAATAAAAGGTTCAACAGTCCTCCTTTATTAATTCCAAAAGATATAAAAGAGCCAGATTTAGAACATTCCCATTTAAAAGTAAAAATATTCCAACCCATTACACACACACATACATAAACAAATAATAGCTCAAAAACACACAGAATAGAAAAACTGCTTTCACACAAAATCAAACCACTCTGCAAGAAAAGAAATAAACAAGTTAGTTTGGGCCCAGTATTACCATTTACACTAATCTGCTAATTCATCAAGCCTTTTCAAATAATGTTTGACTACTGTCCTATGAGGTAGACCACAAATTATTTATCTTTATTTAGCTCCATGTTAGCTCAACTTTCTTCTTTTACAGTGACTTCATGTCATAGATGACCACTTCTATATTTTCGAAAAACAGTGTGCCAAAATAACCGAAATAAAATTAAATCGAAAGCAAAACTGCAATCCAACTTTGTAAACCCTTCATGTAAAGCTATTGGAACACATTTAAATTGTTGTTGTTAGGCAGATGCATAAATGTAAAATGCAAATGAAAGTGACAGTAATTTACAAGAACAGAACAGATTTGTCATATATGCACATTAATAGAAGTGTATTATTGACATTTTCATTGGCAGCCTGTATTTGATTCTAAATATTTTTTGCAAATAGATTAAAGTAAGGTAATTTTCATGGGGTTATTTGTTAAAGGGATACTTTACCCAAAGATTTTACTCAGCCTCATGTCATTCCAACCTTTTAACACACACACACACACACACACACACACACACACACACACACACACACACACACACACACACACAATAATTTGCTGTTTTACTCAATAGAAAGCTATATAAAAGACAGAAACTTTTTTGCATAA